CCAAGATGGATGGCCTTGAGAGAATTATATTAAGTGAAACAAGTCAGGCACAGAAAGAGAAATACCATATGTTCTCACTTATTGGTGGGAGCTAATAATAAATAAATAAATTCACACGCACAGACAAAAAAACCGGGGGCGGGCAGGGAAGAAGACATAACAACTACAGTTCCTTGTAGTTGATATGACAAGCAAACAGAAAGGACATTGTTGGGTGGGAGGGCGGAGAGGGAGGAGGGAGGGGGGTTTCGGTAATGGGCCACAATAATCAACCTCATTGTATATTGACAAAATAAAATTAGAAAAATAAAAATAAAAATAAAAAAATAACATTTAACTATCATTAACAACTCCACAAGGTAGGAAAAGTTAGTCCCGATTTCCATTTGGAGAGGAGAAATTAAGGCTCAGTATGGCTAAATGACTTGCTCAAAAACCACATAGAACGCCGGTCTAAGTGGTCCTACTACTGCAACTAAGATTAGATTACTTTTTAAGGGACACATTTAGCTCTGAAGTGCTAAGCAGATCTGAATATTAGTTTACAGGTACTTTTTAAAGCCCACTTTTATCAGTACAATATACTTTAGCATCATCCATTTCCATCAAACACAAGCATAAACTTCACAAGGCGATAATATTGGCAGAGATAACGATGGATTGGACCAGAGTGACAGCCGTGGAAGTAGTCGGAATCTGGGTGTATTTGGAGGTAGAGCCTACAAGATTTGCTGATGGATTGGAGATGTGAAAGAACGACGTCTAGACTGTGCCAAGCTTTTGACCTGAATACCCGCAAGAATGGAGTTAACATCTGAGAGTGGGAAGGTTTCAGGAGCCTGTGTTTTTGTGACAGAGAGGAGGCCAGAAGGTGGCTCCAAGAGTGCTGTTCCAGACACAGAGAGTCCCATTACACATCCCAGTGGAGAGATGGGCCTAGTGGTTGGATACACAGTAGAAAGGTAACAAGAAATGCCTCACTCCCAAACACTTCCCTCAGGTATCGCTGATCCCTTCCCTCCCGCGTTCTTCTCGGCTGCAAGCGTCCTACAGACGTAACTACCCACGGATGAGAACGTAGTTCATGGTGTGATGGGGTGTCACAGCCAGCGAATACCGCCCTTTATCATACTATAAGGTGTCCTCTGACTCTTACCTACCTAGCAGCTCTCCCTGTTCCGGACCAGTCCCGGGGAGTCCGCACTACGCATGCGCCCATCAACCCCGCGGGACCTCTGGGTCCAGGCTCGCACCGTAGTTTCCGATTGTGGTAGGCGGGGCTAGGAGGACGTGGCGAGTGCGCTTGCGCAAGACCAGGCTTCCGCGCACGCGCTCTCCTTTCGTTTCCTGCGGGCAGGAGTGAGAGAGGCGGAGCATCCGGGTCCCTTGGCCTCTGCCCCCGGAGCTCAGCTGATCGGCCCCCAGCCAGACTAGGAGGTGAGGCCGTCCCCATCCGCAGCCAAAGCATGCAAGTTTACACACACACACCCTCGTGTCCCCCCGCAGAGGGGTGAGGGGGAAATTTGATTTCCTAATGAACATTTCCACTTTTCCGAGCCTCCGCCTCGTGGGGTTGACAGTCCGAGGAACCCTGTGGAGGCCTGTGGCGGCGTCTAGCATTTACCCCGGGCCCGGCGCTGCGGTCCTCGGAGTAGCCGGGTGAACCCACACCCTGAGTACGCGAGGCCTCTGCCGTCTGCATTCCCAACCGCCCGGCGTTGTCATTGACGCTTCGGTCACGGGGATCTGGCCGCCTCCATCCCATCCCCATTCAGAAGAGTCTTGGAGACATGCAGTTTGAGATCTTTGTGCTGGGATGTTTTGACGTCCTCCGGGGCCAGGTGCAGAGGGGGATGGGTAAAGGTGCTATACACCCCTCGGTGGGCGGGAGAAAAAGAAGGGTGGGTGGTCAGGCCCGGCCGTGGTGTTTGATCCTGCTGCTTCAGTTTTCTTATTTATAGAATGGGGTAATGACATACGTCTTGCTAGGCATATTTCTTCTGGAATAATGCCTTCTGGGGCATATTTATTTTAATATTCCTTTCACTTCGTTATTCATTCTTTCTCACTAGGCACAGTTTTATTTGTTGTCGTTTGTACCTTTGTCCTTTAAAAATAGGTTCTCAGGATTTCGCCTCCAGTTATGTTTTTCCGCAAATGAAATGAGAAGTAAAGCTATACTTTTAACATTAAAAATCCTTACGAGTATTTTTTAATCTGTTACTTTAAGGTGTGAACTTAAAACTTCAGCAATGGAGTTAGCCCACAGTTTATTGCTAAATGAAGAAGCTTTGGCTCAAATCACCGAAGCAAAGAGACCAGTTTTTATCTTTGAATGGTTGCGATTTCTTGATAAAGTATTAGTTGCTGCCAACAAGGTATGGTATTGCTTTTTTTCCCAATTGGATTAACATAAAGAGTTTATTCATGATTTGTGAGAAAACACACATGTTTTGGGAAGGCTGTGGGTCACTTATGGAATTTAGAATATTACAGTAATGAGAATTTCTAGTCTATCCTTTTCCTATTCTGTGGCAAAACCCAAACCTCATTTAAGTGCAGTTCATTGCCTACTTCAAGTGCAGCTCAATGTGACTGGAGAAAAACATGATCACGTGATTGGTATCACTTTAAATTCATCATCACTAACTGGAAGTGGTCTGACAGGGCTAACAATCCGAGTATCTTCACTTATCTCTCTGAGGCGTTAATAGGTTTTTATTTTATTTTTTCTGTTTTCTTCTTGTATAGTCTCTTTGATTTAAGTTGCTTTTTATTGTCCGTATGTTTTATTTTCTGTCTTTAAAATCAGATACTTACTTCAAATGTCTGATGATTTTTGGTTGTCTGTTCAAATTTAAGAGAGAGTAGTAAAAAGTTTTATGGGTACGGTGAATTTTGTTAACTGGACTTCACTGTAGGCTAGCCGGGTTCCTGACCTTAGTATCTCAGGTTTCTTTAGGCTGGTTGTTTCCCAGAAGAGACTTTTTCTACTCTAGTATCAGAAGGGTATATTGCTAGCTGCCTAGGTTCTAAGACTTGGGGGAGAAGACTGGAGCTTCAACATTTACTATGTGAACTTTCACTTAACCCCTTGTTTTCAGTGCAGTTTTCCCAGCCCACAGCTGTGCCTTGGCTCCTCTAGTCCAGAGATGTAATATTTTATTTTTTCCAGAAAATAAGCCTCCAGCCTTCTTCTAGAATGTAGGAGAGAGATATAGGAGTCTTACAGATTTTTAAGCAGACTCTCAACTATTTCCTCCATTTCTAGGTTCAACTTTACTCCCACCACCAGAAGCAACTACAGCCCCAAACAAACTTGAGCTCTTAGGGGATTCTGTGTTGTAAGTTGGGTCTCTCCTCAGCTTTTCCTATTGGGAATACTTGGCTTCCAAAGTTTGTTTTGGTTCTTTTCCTATTTTCTTGACCCTTCTAGATTTGTGCATTTTTTTGGTTGTCCTGTAGTATGGTTTTAATGGAGTTTTTAGAGAAGCAGTTAATACATGGAATCACTTGTAATCTTTAAGTAGAAGTTTCTATTTGCTCTTAAATCCCCTCTAATTAGGCATTTGTTGCCTCTCCACCGCTGAAACAGCTCTTGTCCAGCCATCACTTCTTTCTTATTTGATCCATCCCCATCTTTTCACATAGCTGATCCTCTTAAAACATTTTTTATTTTGTTGTGAAATTGATAAATACAAGAGTATATAAAATATATCTAAGTTAGGAAGCATAATAATATGAATATCTGTATACCTTTCACCCAAATTAAATAGATTGTTATTATTACTTTGCATACTTTGTGTTATGTTCATCCTGTTTGTGGCTTCCCAAGACACCATTTGCTTTTAGTTCCTCTTCTTCTTCACTAGTTACTCCTTCTGATTCACTTTCGTTGGCTCTTCCTCAGTCATGGACATTTTTATTTATTTATTTTTCTACCTATACTTATTCCTTCAGCAATATAATCTAATCTTATGGTTTTTACTACCATGTATATAATTATGACTCCCAGATATCCAACTGCTTACTCCACCTCTTTCTCATCTAAATGGCATCTCAGAGTTAACATATCCAAGCAAAATTCTTGATTTCCCTTCCTAATCCTGCTCTTTCCCCAGTGTTCTCCATCTCAGGAAATGACCGTTTCATCCTTCTAGATGCTCAGGCCAAAAACCTTAGAGTCATTCTTGACTTCTTTCTTTTTCTCAAAGTTCACATCACATTCATCAGCAAATCCTGTGGTTTTAGTCACAGATATATCCAGAATTCATTTACTTGTCATCATGTTCGTTGTTACCACCATCATCTCTCATGTGGCTTATTGCAGCTGCTTCCTAATTGCTCATGATTCTTCCATCCGTGTACCTTATAGACTATTCTCAGCTCAGCAGTCAGAGCAAACCTGTTAAAACATTTAGATTATGACCCTCCTCTGCTTCAAACTCTTACTCAGAATATAATACAGAGTTCTTACAGTGGTGTATAAGATACTACATGATCTGGTCCCTTCTACCTTTCTGACTTCCATCTCCTACTACTTTCTTGTATTATGCTCTAGCCAAACTGGCCTTGCTGTCTGAAGCATGCTTCAGCCTCAAGGCCTTTGCACTTCTTGTTCCCTCTTCCTGGAATGTTCCTCCCCCAGGTGTATGCATAACTCACCTCCTCACTTCTTTTCAGAGAGGCCTTTTCTAACTAATCTATATAAAACAGTAAGCACTTAGACTCTTCATTCATTTATTTGGTAAACTCTTTTCCCTCTCCACCAGAATGTAAACTTCATGAAGGCAGGGACTTTGTTTTGTTCACTGTTGCACCCTGTTGCCCAAGTAGTGCATGACATACAATAAGCACACAAAAAGTATTTCTTGAGTGAATGAACAGATTCTAGGTATTGAATTCATTATGGGTAGATCTGGATATTTATTTTTTCTGTTGCTTGGGGCTCTTCACAGTTTCTTTTGGTTTTCTTCACTGACCTGTAGCTTTATAACCACTGACTTTGCTTTTATAGGGGAAACCTGTCTGGATTTTTAAGATATCAATTGTCCATACACCCAGTATTTCATATCCTTTGACTATTGGTTTATTTCTTAGTAAGTCTGCCTGGAAACTTTTTGGATCAAAGTAGTCACTTTTTTTGGAAGCTAACTTTTTGGTATTAGAGCAGAATGATAGAGAATATTTAATCTAGGGAAGAATGGTTCATTTCTTACTGAACTTTTCCTTATCTTGAAAATTTTCATTTATGATTCTGTGTTTAATGTAATATAGATTTGAGTTATTGGAGTGCCTTAGTGTTAAGTATTTTTAATTCTGATTAAAAGGTAACAAAAATATGTGTAATAAAAAAACAATGATGTTCTTTATTTTTTTTTTATAACAGACTGATGTAAAAGAAAAACAGAAAAAACTTGTTGAACAATTAACTGGATTAATAAGTAGTTCACCTGGACCACCTACGCGAAAATTGTTAGCTAAAAATCTTGCAGCACTTTATAGTATTGGGGATACTTTTACGGTTTTTCAAACACTTGATAAATGTAATGACATCATCAGAAATAAAGATGACACTGCAGCCTACTTACCAACAAAATTGTAAGTACTTACTTTGACAGGGACCCTTGAAGTTTTATTTGTTGTTCCAGGGTAATTTAGTAAGGGACTATTGACCATAAAGACTGCCAGGTGGATGGAACTTGAGGCATGTTGCTGGCAATAAAAGCTTTAAGTAGATCTGGGGAAGGGACTCTACTTCTACATATGTATTGCCACTAAGACTTTCAGTACACTAGAGAGAACTGGTATGGTTTCAGACATTTGCACAGGGGTCTTTTGGTAAGTTTGGATGGAAATAATATTCTTGTTGAAATAGAAAAGTAAAGAGTTTCTAGATTGTGGAATTGAGGCAAAAATATGCAAACTATAGCTCAGGGCCAAATCCAGTCTGCTGCCTGTTTTGAAGTTTTATTGGAATACAGATATGTATGTTCATTTAGGAAGTAGCTGCTTTCACACTGTAATGGCAGAGTTCAGTGGCTATGACTGAAATCATTTTGCCTGCAAGTTTGCTGACCCCTAGATTAAGGGCTTAACCCCGCTTCTAGCCCATATCTGTGGTTTGCATCAAGGGCAGATGTTTTCAAAGCAAGTATTGAGGGTAACAGCTATAGGTATGCATCCTATGAATGAGTCAAATAAGAAAATTAACAGTTATAGGACAGTGAAGAGTGCTGTGTAAATGAACTTAGTATGGTGTGGGGGAGAACAGTGTCAAGGAAGGCTTCTCAAAGGAACAACAGCCAAAGATGATCAACCATCATAGGATACAAAGAAATTAGTCAGGTAAGGGGTTAAGATGGGAGGAGAAAAGATGAATGTGATAGATTGGGGGTCAGCAAACTCTGGAAGGGATCAGATAGTAAATATTTTTGGTTTTGTAGACTATACATCTCTCTAGCAACTGCTCACCTCTGCCATAGAAAGTACATAAATGAACAAACATGTCTGTGTTCCAGTTAAATTTTGTTTACAAAAATATGTGGCAACCTGGATGTTGGGCCTCTGGCTGTAGTTTGCTAGCTTACTTTCTAGGTAAAGGAAATTTCAAATTGGAAACAAAAGTGCTTACTTATACCTTGTGTAGTGCTTTTCAAAAGATACACATTAGAGGAGGGAGGAACAAGCTGTGAGGAGAAGATAATGAGTTCGATTTTGAGCATGCTGATTTTGAGTACAAGTGGGAATATCCAAGTGATTACTTATACCTTGTGTAGTGCTTTTCAAAAGATACACATTAGAGGAGGGAGGAACAAGCTGTGAGGGGAAGATAATGAGTTCGATTTTGAGCATGCTGATTTTGAGTACAAGTGGGAATATCCAAGTGATAGTGTATATATAGTAGGCTGTTGGAAATCCTGGTCTGGATTTCAGCGATCTGAGTTGGGAATGTAGTTTTGATGAGTAGAGAATGGAGATTTGGGAGTAGGCAAAATCCTATGAATAGAGTTACCTAGGAAGAGTATATTGCTTGAGAAGAGAAGATGGCCAAGGATACAACTCTAGAACACCAACATTCAAGGGGCCAGTGTAATAGAAACAGAGAAATATACTGAACCTGGACACTGATTTTTAGGTCTTTTTTCAACTGCCTAGATATATTGTGATTAGACTTTGTGGTATTTGGGATAGATGTAGATCTCAAAAGTTTTAGAGATTAGAGAGTGCTAGTGCCTTCTAGTTTATTTTGGAGTTTGAAGCTATGTTAATACTTTGATGACTTAGTTCTCCACTAAGCAAATGCACAAAGTTTGTAGTTCTGGTTAAGTAGAATTTATTACATGTTATATATTATTCATGTGTATTTCTGGCAGATTCATGGGTTTTGTTTAGGAATTCCCTAATATATTCTGGCATGTGACCTCAGTCATTTTTAACTTTATTATCAATCCGTATGGTATGGAAGAAAGGCATGAGATTTGGAGTCAAAGAGGTAAAGATTGATTCCTTATTTCTACTATTTATTAGGTGTATGATTGTGAGCTAAATTTAAATTCTGTCAGCTGTAGAGTAACTTGTTCAGGTCACATAGCTATTAGGCGGCATGTTCTAGGATTTAGGCACAGGTCTGCCAGAATCCAAAGCTCATTCTCTTAACCATTGTATCCTACTCCTGCCTCTAAGCTAAACTCACAGCTGTTCACTTATTTACTATTAACATTAGTAATGGTGGGATTGTTTTCTTACTCCCGAAGAGATGTGTTGCTGTTACTTTTTTTCTTCTACATAGTCTAGTGTTCCATTAAAGCAATTTAGATTAAATTTTACAGGTTTACAAATAATAGTGTAGTATTATTTGTAAATTAAGAGGCAGGCACTGTAATCAGTACAAATGCACAAGATATATTCTTTGTTTCTGGAGATCACTTTTCCATTGGCAGGATGAGATGGAGACATATAAAATGGTGAAATCAAAACACAGTAAACAATATAATTTTGTCGAAATGAGTTATTGACATTAAGGGTTACGTATAATGAGAGGAGAGAGGGATCATTGTGGATTAATATAACTTGGAAAACCTTCATAAAAGGATGGATACGATTTATTATGTATATATGTATTTATTCTTTTGTATTCCTAATGAATACAATTTTAGTAACTGATATTTGTCGTAATTATAAAGAATAAGGTGTTTTTGAAAATTGAAAATTAATTAAGAATTATAGCCAAAAGTGTCAGACAAAGTGATTTCTGAAAATGAGAAACATATAATGAAATTGTATCATCCTGAACAATGACCAGTGAAAATACCACTTCTTACAGGGCTGCAGTGGCTTGTGTTGGAGCATTTTATGAAAAAATGGGGAGAATGCTGGGCAGTGCATTTCCAGAAACAGTAAATAATCTTTTGAAATCTCTGAAAAGTGCAGAGGTAAGTTTACGACAAATACTATTTGAATGTTTTGCTTGTGACAAGTTAGATGTCAGTTAAAAATAGTTTTGTTTTTTCTGTCACTCTGGTACTCAAATTGCTTAGCAAAGAGGTAATTTCAAATTATTACTTGCTGCTCCTTTTTTTTTTTTTTTTTTTTTTTTTTTCCCTTTTTGTCTCTTTTTTACTGACTGGTAACGGGATCGCAACCCTTGGTGTTGCGCCCGTACCGGGGACCGGCAACAGGATCGCAACCCTCGGTGTTGTGCCCGCATCCCGCTCAGCCAGTGAGCGGGAACCAGTCTCCACATGGGATCCGAACCCTCGGCGGGAGCGCCGCCACACTCCCAAGCAGCGCACTCTCCAGTGCGCCACCAGGCCGGCCCCTTGCTGCTTCTTTTAATGTTCATTACCTCATATTTGGGGGGAAGAGTAAGAATGCCTTTCCCTGACAAAGAAGTTTCACCTATTATTTTTTATTCAGCCCTATGGATATTTTTGAATTGACATTTTATTTTTGTGCCATAGCTAATGTATTCATTTCCTATGACTGCCATAAAAAATTACCACATGGTGTGTTAAAACAACAGAAATGTATTGTCTCACAGTCCTGGAGGCTGGAAGTCTGAAATCAAGTGTTGGCAGGGCCATGTATTCTCTGAAGGCTCTAAGGAAGAATTCTTTTCCTTTCTATCTTTTAGTGGTTGCTGGAAATCCTTGGCCTTTCTTGGCTTGTAGACGCATTTCTCCACTCTTCTGCCTCCTTTGTCACATGGCCTTCTCCCTCTGCCCCTGTGTTCTGCATCCAGATTCTTCTCCAGATACCAGTCATTGGATTAGGGACCATCCTAGTCCAGTATGACCTCATCTTTATTCAGTTTCATCTGCAAAGGCCCTATTTCCAAATAAAGTCACATTCACAGGTGATAGGGCTTAGGATTTGAACATATCTTTTGGGGGACACAATTAAACCCATGACAGCTAATAATAAGTAAAAATAGTTCTTTTCTGTCATGTCAGTTTGGCATTATCTTTATGAATTCCTTTTCAATTTAGGAATAACTATAAACAGTCAAAGCCCAAGACTCTTACAGTCCAATTCCTTCATCTAGGGAACCTAAAGAGTTCTTGGGTGATGCCTCTTCTGGGAACTATTTGTCTATTCATTCATTAAATAAGAATTGAGGATGTATTATTTGTCAGGCAATAGGCATACGAAGATAAATAAGACGTGGACCCTGACCTCAAAAGCTTATAATCTAATGGAAGAGCTCTATCTACCTATATCTATATAAGAGGATAAGTATTATTATACTTACCAAGATAAGTGTACTATTAGAAATAAGAGTAAGCACGATGTGAGTATAGAAACAGGAGTTTGAGTTAGTCACAAGATGAGAGTTTGCTGTATCTCTGCAACAAGTTTTTTAAATGTGTTACATGTTTTTTTTTTCCCTTTTGGATGGTTTAAGTTTTTTCTTAACTACTTTTTACTTAATTTTTTACATTCTGAAAGTTTGGACACTTGAGATATGATATTGAAGCTTTTGAATCTATCTTTATGTTGTCATTGTATTGTACTTCAACATGTCATGGAAACATTGTAACCTAATTTCTCAGAAAGATATTATTTAATGAAAGTTAATAATTATTCTTACCTTTCAGATCCTTTCTTAAATACTTAATTTTATTTTATTTTTTGTTACTTATTGTTTATAATTTGTAGGTAAGACCATTAGGTTCTTGGGAACTTTTGTGTTTTGATATGTTCCTCTTTAAATATGGAATTTATTTTACAATATAATTTTAAAGTCTTTCTTTATGTACATGTCTAGTCTCAAGGGCGAAGTGAAATCTTAATGAGTCTACAGAAAGTTCTAAATGGACTTGGTGGTGCGGCAGCTTCCTCTCATCGTGATATTTATAAGAATGCCAGGTCTCTCTTGACTGACAGGTCGATGGCTGTTCGATGTGCAGTCGCGAAGGTTAGTACTCAACCAATTTGTTATGCTGCTCCTTATCCTGCTTGCTCTTAAACAGTCGATAATTTTTTTCTTTTAAAGTTTTAAATTATGACAGCATGTTTTTTATTCCCATGAATTAGTTTCATTTTCTAGCATTCTATGTAAATGGAATTATGTGGTATGTACTTTTGTTTGTATGTGTTTTGGCTTCCTTCACTCAGCATAATTGTTTTGAGATTTATCTATGTTGTTACATGTGTCAATAGTTCATCCCTTTTTATTGCTGCACAGTATTTTATTATATGGATATACCACATTCATTTGTTCTTTCAGCTGTTATAAACACTTGAGTTGTTTCCAGTTTTGACTATTACAAAAAACGGTTTGTGAGTATCTGTGGACAAGTTTTTGCATGGGCATGTGCTTTCTTTCTTTTTTTTTTTTTAATTTAATTTCTTAATTGACCCCTAATAATTGTATGTATTTATGGAGTACAGTATGACACTTGGGTACATTCGTACTGTGTGCAATGATCTTATTAGGATGCTTAGTATATCCATCACCTCAAACATTTGTCAGGTTGTGTTGGGAACATTCAACATCATCTTGACTAGCTGTTTAAACATACACAGTACTTTGTTTTGACTGCAGCCTCCTTACATTGCTATAGAACACTAGATTTTATTCTTCCCTTCTCTCTACAATTTTTTATCTACTGACCATCCTTTCCCCATCACCACCTCTCCCCTCCCCTTACTACTATGTAGTAACCACTATTCTACTCTCTACTTCTATGAGATGAACTTTTTTAGCTTCCACATATGAGAGAGAACATGTGGTATTTGTCTTTCTGTGCCTGGCTTATTTCACTTAACATAATTTTCTCCAAGCTCATCCATGTTGCTTCAAATGGTAGAATTTCATTGTTTTTTATGACTAAGTAGTTCCATTGTGTCAACTTTATCCAGTCATCCATTGAAGGACATTTAGGTTGGTTCCAACTCTTGGCTATTGTGAATAGAGCCATGATAAACATGGGAGTGCAGTTATCCCTTCAACTTGTTGATTTCCATTCATTTAGATATATACCCAGTAGTAGGATTGCTGGATCATATGTTAGTTCTATCTGTTGTTGTTTGGGAAATGTCCATACTGTTTTCCATAATGGCTGTACTAATTTACATTCCCACCAACAGTGTACAAGTTCCCCTTTCTTTGCATCCTCACCAGCATATGTTATTTTTTCTCTTTGATAAGTATTATTCATAAAATCTTTGCCCAATCCTATGTCCCATTCTAACTGGAGTCAGATGATATCTCATTGTGGTTTTGATTTGCATTTCTCTGATGATTAGCGATGTTAGCATTTTTTCCATATACCTGTTTGCCATTTGTATGTTTTCTTTTGAAAAATGCCTTTTCAGTTCTTTTGCCCATTTTTTAATAGAATTATTTGTTTTTTTACTATTGAGTTGTTTGAGTTCTTTGTGTATTCTGGATATTAATCTCTTGTTGGATGCATGGTTTGCAGATATTTTCTACCATTCTTCAGATTATCTTTACACTCTGTTGATTGTTTTCTTTATTGTGCAGAAGCTTTTTAGTTTGACATAATCCCATTTGTTAATTTTTGCATTTCTTCCCTGTGCTTCAGAAGTATTACTCATAAAATCTTTGCCCAGTCCTATGTCCTGAAGTGTTTCCCCTATGTTTTCTTCTAGAAGTTTTATGGGCATATGCTTTTATTTCACTTGAGTAAATACCTAGAGGTGGAATGGCTGAGTATTATGGTAGATTTATGTTTAACATTTTACAAAACTGCCATACTGTTTTCCAAAGTACTTAGAACATTTTAATTTCTACTGGCAATGTATGAGAATTGCACTTCTTCCATCTACACCAGCATTTGTTACTGAGAGTCTTTTTAATTTTAGCCATTCTAATAAATACATACAGTATGTCATTGTGGCTTTAGTATCTGTGCTGCTGAAATGAGCACTCTTTTCTTTTTTTAGGTGGCTGACCAGTATAAGGATCATTGTGGCTTTAAATTGCATTTCCCTGATGACTAATGGCATATTTTCAGATGCTTATCTACCATCCATATATTCATTGAGGAATGGTTTATTCACATCTTTTACTTATTGTTTTTATTGGGTTGTTTGTTTTTTCATTATTGAGTTTTGAGAGTGCTTTATAGATTCTTTATATATTCCTTTGTTGAATATATGATTTGCAAATATTTTCTCTCATCTTTGGCCTGTCTTTTCATAATCTAAATGGGGCCTTTTTAAGAAAAGAAGTTTTTAATTTTGTCAAAGTCCAATTTATCAATTTTTTTTATGTGGATTGTGCTTTTGGTGTTGTATCTAAGAAAATTTTTCTAACTCAGAGTTACTCCCATGTTTCTTTCTAGAAGTTTTATAGTTTTATACTTAGATACATGATCCATTTTAGATAACAGTTTTGTTTTTTTTTTTAATATATATATCCACTTATCCACTTGTTTCAGCAGTATGTTGAAAAGCCTGTCTTTTCTTCACTAAATTGCCTTTATACCTTTGTTGAAAATTGATTGTCCATGTATGTATAGGTCTATTTTTGGACTCTGTATTCTGTTCCCTTGATCTGTTTGTCTATCTTGATGTCAACAACCCTTTTCTTTCTTTCTTTTTTTTTTAAACAACATTTTTCTTGATTACTGTACCTTTATACTAAGTCAGGAAATCAGGTAGTGTTAGCCCTCCAACTTTGTTCTTTTTCAGAATTGTTTTGTCTATTCTAAGTCCTTTGTATTTTCATATGAACTTTAGAATTAGCTTATCAATGTCTACAAAAATAGCATGCTGGGGTTTTGATTCAGGTTGTATAGGAGTGGTATTATTTCTTACTTAAACATTTGGTTGAATTCACTAGTGCAGTTGTCTAGGGCTAGAGCTTTTTGGGGAGGAAGATTTTGAATTACAAACTAATTTTTAAAATAGATACTGGGCTATTCGGATTATCTGTTTCTTCTTGAGCACATTGTCTGTTTCATCTCAGTTGTCAAATTTATTAGCATAAAGTTGTTCATATATTCTCTTTATCATTTTAAAGTATGTTGAATCTGTAGTGATTTGGTGTCTCTCATTTCTAATTTTGGTAGTTTGTGTCTTTTTGCTTTGTTTTCCTGATCGGTCCGGCTAGAGATTTATCAAATTTATTAGACTTCTCAAAGAAGCAGAATTTGCTTTTATTATTATTTTTCAGTTTTCTATTTCATTAATTTCTTTTTTTTTTTTTACTTCATATGTTTATCATTATACAATGTAATAATTTTTTGTGGCCCTTTGCCAATTTCTTGCTAATCCCCTCCCCTTCCCACCTCCAGTGACCCCAGCTGCTCACTCTCCCCTTGAAAGTACAACAAATTATTGTGATTGATGTATCTGTCTTTCCCTCTTTTGTAAAAAAATTTTTTTTTAATTTTTTTTTTCTGCTTCCACTTATAAGTGAGCACATGCAGCATTTCTCTTTCTGTGCCTGCCTTATTAACATAATTTTCTATGAGTTTATCTAGGTTGCTGCTGATTTCCTTTCTTGTCTTTATTATTTCCTTTTTCTCCTTACTTTCTGTTAAATTTTCTCTCCATATGGTTTCCTAAGGTGGAGGCTGGGGTTACTGATTTGAGATTCTTCTTTTCTAATGTAGGGGTTTAGTGTTACATGTTTCTCCCTAAGTACTGGAAACTCTCTCAGGGCAGTAAGCTGAGACAATTATTGGGTTCACCTTGTTTGTTTCTCATCTCTTGAAGATAACTATCCTTCATTGCTTGATGTCCAGTGTCTTGAAAACTGTTGTTTCATATATTTTGTTCAGTTTTTTAGTTATTTCAGGAGACAGAATGAATCTGGTTCTTATTACTCTTTCTCTGGAAGCAGAAGTTCTAGGATGTAATTTCCTTTTTGTTTTTTGTTTTTAATTCTAGTGTCTACTAGAACTACAGAATGAAGCTGTATTCATGTGGACTGCTGAACTGGAAAATATAGCCACTCTCTGCTTTAAGGCTTTGGAAAACTCAAATTATGGGGTACGAGTGGCAGTGTCCAAACTCTTAGGAACAGTTATGGCTACAGCACTGATGCCAAAACAGGCAACAGGTATTGTTTGCCAACCCCCAATTTAGACTATAGCAGATGTTTGAAGCTTTATGGAATGCTTCCATCTAAGTTAGTTATTACATATAGGCAGGTTACCTTAAAGGATTTAAATTGTTAGGTATCTTTGTCTACTTTTTCAGAAAATGCAAGAACACAGATGGCATTTTTCTTGATATATTTAAGATACTTTTTGTGATGGTAATGTAAAAGATAATATCAAGCAATGATGCTGGACATATAAGCCAGTAAAATTTATGAAATGGTTTTATGTAAGCTTAAGGCATTGGAATCTGGCACTTTATGTGCTAATTTCTTATTTTTAATCTCTGATGGGTAGACCCCCACTTACGCCACAGTATGATTTTTGGTTATTCCTGACCATTATTGTAAGCAGAATCAGAGGCAACTATATGTGAAAAGACTTTATAAAATATGAAGCTTTATATGAGGAATGCAAGTCAGTTGCACTCCCAGTGACATTTGAATTCATTGGTAACTGCTGTATATAGAAAGCACTGTGTTGAGAAAGTTTCCTTGTGTCTACCTCAGTTGAGAAAGGGGAGCTGTGATCAGTAAGCAGGATCTGCTGTGGGTGTGCTTTGACCTTGTTGTGTTACATGTATTATGTTTATCATCATTATTAGACTATTGGCATAGGCTTATTGAATTGCTTTTATAGTCTAGTTTCTTCCATTTTTGTTAGCATTTTTTGCTTCAAAATTTAATTTAGGTTTACAATTACATTGTAAATTTTAAGAAAATTTCTTATAAGAAAACCAAATGATTCTATCTCCATTGCAGTAAAATATCTTTAAAAATAATTACTTGGATTTTAAAGCTAGAATATTAGAAATATGATTTAATTAATAGCAAAAAAATATACTTCAGAAATATATTTGCTTATACTTTTACTTTTCTTCCTGAAAGTGATGCGTCAAAATGTGAAGCGAGCAACACTGGATGAAGTCTTAGAACTCATGGCCACAGGATTTTTACGTGGAGGGTCAGGTTTCTTAAAGAGTGGTGGAGAAATGTTAAAAGTTGGAGGGTCTGTTAATCGTGAAGTGAGAGTTGGAGTTACACAGGTTTGTAAAAACAAATGTGTATAAACAAATTCTGTTCATGTCGTTCGGAGAATTTCATGAAAGAGTGTTACTGGGTAACAGCACACACAGAGATTTTAAGTATTACTTGCTTTCTTTCAAAACATTTCTTTCACCAAATGAATGAATTATATTCAAATATCAAATTATATGCTTATTTGGAAAGGTAGATCCTTAATGATGTATAAATTAGCCTTTCTCCACTATATTTATACAAATATCTAAAAAAAATTTCCAAATTTTACTTGGCAGAAAATCAGATATAAAATAATTCAATTTTAATTGAAACTATTCAGATAGCTTGAGGCATTTAGATTTTAACATTCTCCAGTGATCCTATAGATAAAAATGTTGGTTATTGCTTTGATTGAATATATTATCAATAACTAATCACCAGTGTAATTATGAGATCAACTCTGACTTGGAATTACAATTTCAAAATCATAATTAACACAAAATAAGAAGTTATGGTTAATGATCTACTAATTAATACCTAATAAAGTGAAATGGTGATCATAGTCAAAATTATGATCTCAGTCAAAATCACCACAGTTGTATCTTGTCCCCTGAAACAAGTGTAAACTAGAAGTAACCCATTTTTTTTTTTTCCTTTTTGTCTTTTTTTGTGTCCGGCAATGGATCGCAATCCTCAGTGTCACGCCCGTACTGGACGGGGACCGGCAACAGGATCGCAACCCTCAGTGCTGCACCCGCACCTCGCTCAGCTAGTGAGCGGGAACCGGTCTGTATGTGGGATCCGAACCCTCGGCGGGAGCGCTGCCGCACTCCCAAGCGGCGCACTGTAGCAGTGCGCCACCGGGCCGGCCCAGAAGTAACCCATTTTTATCTACAGAGAAAGTTATAAGCAAATGTTTTGTAGCTCTAAGTCAGTATTAATTTAGGATGTTAAGATTTTCTTATTCCTGTAACCTTCTTGATCAAAAGTGAATCTTTCTTTTCTTCCCTTACCACTCTCTTTATGTTCTTCATAAAGCTATTACGTTAAGAACTGTTTTTAGTTAAAGATACTTCACTGATAATGCCTATGCTAGAAGTACTAAAAAGATCTCAAATTTAAATTTTCTCTATTTTAATCTCAAATGTAATTTGTTTTACATGCTGTCATCAGTTATTTCTGTAGTTGCTTTTTCTGTAATTTCTGTTCATTTACATACATTTATCTGAAGTCATATCTTAATCTATTTATAGGCATATGTTGTTTTTGTAACAACATTGGGTGGCCAGTGGTTGGAGCGTAGCTTTGCTACATTCTTGTCCCATGTACTTGATCTGGTTTCCCATCCTCGGGCAACACAAACACATGTGGAGGCTGTGTACTCGAGACGATGTGTCTCCTTTATCCTAAGAGCCACGGTTGGCAGTTTGCTAGGTGAAAAAGCCCAGATTGCAGCTGCCAAAGAAATATGCCAAGCTATTGGAAAACAAATGAAAGCAGTAGGTAAGGATTGGTATCTTAATGGGTATTGTTGATTACCTTAGTCATTAAGTTCTTTGTTATTATTCTTAATAAATAGTAATGTATCCGATTAGTTTATATTTTTCTGGACTGTTTTCATAGTCATTTTTATTGTGAATTCTTATTTGATATTTAAACAACGTATGATTACAGTGAAATAGAGTTTTTATTTTATTTTTTTATTTTTATTTTTTTTTAAAAGATGACCAGTAAGGGGATCTTAACCCTTGACTTGGTGTTGTCTAACCGGCCATCCCTATATGGGATCCGAACCCGCGGCCTTGGTATTATCAGCACCGCACTCTCCCGAGTGAGCCACAGGCCGGCCCAAAATAGAGTTTTTAAAGATTGGGTAGCATATTTTTAAGATTAGGTTTTCTGTTTTATTTCTAGATTTTATAACTCTCCTGGTCTGCAGCAGCACATTAGGTGCTATCTTCAAGGAATAATGTAGTGTGCTTTTTCTTCTAAGAGTCTGTTGTTTTTATAAACATATTTTTGTTGCCTTTTTAACCTTCCTCAATGGGCTTAATTTGAAGAAATAAAGAAGAACAATTACATAGATGGTTATTAGCCCCTATAGGATATACTGTGAAACCTTAGTAATTCATAATTACAAGAAATCCTTTTCTAAGAAGTGTCAATTTTATAAATATTTTAGTTCGACCAATAGTTACTAAATATCTGAGATTTACAGAGCAGTAATTCAGGGTTTAAATAATGAGTGTGATAAACTTTCTGCCCTCATGGAGTTTGTAATCCAATTAGGGGACTAAAGCAAGACAAAATATATATTTTGCAAGACTGGTTAGTCTTATCACTATTATTTATTTATGTATTTATTTATTTAAATTTAAGATGACCGGTAATGGGATCTAAACCCTTAACTTAGTGTTGTCAGCACCATGCTCTCCCAAGTGAGCTAACCACCCATCCCTATATAGGGATCTGAACCTGTGGCCTTGGTGTTATCAGCACCACACTTTCCCAAGTGAGCCATGGGCTGGCCCAGAAATATACATTAACTTTAATCAGGCATATTATATTGCCCAATAAGAGACCTTTAGAAATCAGGATTTAATGAATAGTTGTGATAAGTAATCTATTTTTAGAGAATATATATTAAATATTTTATAAAATTAATAAAAATAAATTTGTAAGGGCCGGCCCGGTGGCGCACTGGATAAGTGCACCGCTTGGGAAGCGCGGCGGCTCTCCCGCCCGAGGGTTCGGATCCCACATGCAGACCGGTTCCCGCTCACTGGCTGAGCGAGGTGCAGGAGCGGCGCCAAGGGTTGCAATCCCGTTGCCAGTCCCCGGTCCGGTACGGGAGCAACACTGAGGGTTGCGATCCGTTGCCGGACACGGAAAAAAGACAAAAGACAAAAAAAAAAATAAAAATAAATAAATAAATTTGTAAATAGCTGTGGTTTTTGTTGTTTATAATAGCTTACTTAGCAAACCATTTTTTAAATGCATAGGACTAACTGAAAATTATGAATCATGAGTTAAGGGTGTTTAAATTAATGAGGTATTGTTCTTTAAATATGCAAAAATAGTTCTCTCTCCTAAGTTCAGAACTTGAAAAATATTTGTAAATTGAATCATTGAAGAAATAATTGAGAGCCAGAAACACTGCCAGATGGTGAGAGTAAAATAGCAAGCCAGATAAGGTAGCACCTGTCTTCAGAGAGTTTTTAGGTTAGTATTCAAAAGATAGAGTTCATACATTTCCAAATCCAAAAATATCTAATAAAAAAAGCGGTATTTAATTGCAGTATGTAATTTATTAATCTATTATATTCTGTATTATATATTTTTATAGTCTATAAATTCGCAATGAATGCATGAATGCATGAAGTAAGAAAGTTTTACTGTCATTTAAAAGGTATTAATCTCAAGGTCATAGATTAGCTATTTGATTTCAAAAATCCTAAAAGCAGAATTCAATACAGTGATGTATGTCAGGAATTTATGGGCCAGAGGATGTTTAGTTTCCTCATGTTAAATACATTTCAATTCTTTTTTTTTTTGACTGGTAAGGGGATCGCAACCTTCGGCATAGTGTGGTCTGCACCACACTCAGCCAGTGAGTGCACCGACTATTCCTCTATATAGGATCCAAACCCGCGGCTTCGGCACTACCAGCGCCGCACTCTCCCAAGTGAGCCACGGGGCCGGCCCAAATATATTTCAATACTATTTGAATTTAAAAGGTGTGGGGAAGGGGCAGCAAAGCTAATGGGAACTTTGAGGAACATTCCAGTAAGAAGTTCAAAAGTTTCCTTATAGATCTCCTTTCTGGTCAGTAATTTGACAATGATGCCTCCAATATATTGGAGCACTTGAAATAGGAATAATAATAATCAAGTAACAATAATAATTGCTGACATTTATTGAATGTGTATTGGGGGCAGCATTGTGTTAAATTCTTTATATGCATTGACTTAATCATCACAGTACCCTTTGAGATAGGCACGTAAGCCCTTTAACAGATGAGGAACTTGAGACAGAAAAGTTGAGTATCTTGCCCAATATCACATCGCTAACATGATACATGGAGTTGGGATTTGAACACAAGTATTTCTCCAGAGTCTGTGCTTTTGTGTAGTATGGATTACTGTTGCTCTGAAATTAAGTTGTACTCCTGGAAGCAGTCAAATAGATACCTCAGTATTTATTTTAGCAATGTCATAGTCATTAAATAGTTTTAAAGTTAATTCAGCATTTATTTATGCAAGTTTTCCACTGAGAAGTATCTAAATAGAGTTTTTAACACTCAGGAATCAACTGGTGTGACTAAAAACATAAATTGTGTAAACTAAAAAAAATACATCACAATTCAAAGACATGATTTTGTGCTTCCAGAAGCAGTAGTGAATGATACTAGTGGTGAAAACAAATCTGGTGCAGCAGACATCGCAGCAAGCCAGCATGTTATGGTCTGTGCCCTCCAGGAGCTCGGGAGCCTGGTGCAGAGCCTCAATGCCACTGCCTCCCCTCTGATTCAGGAAGCATCTATAGGTTTGACATTCAGTACTTATTGGAATATTTTTTCAGTCTTTTTCAAAGTCCTAGGTGTGATTGATGTTTAACTCCTGATTAATTGTTTATCATCATACATAGCAGTTTAGATCATTAGATTTTATTTAAGATTCGCTATGAGAGAGAATATTGAATTAAATGGTAAAATAAAGGTTTGGAGATATTTCAAAACCAGTCATAAATCAAAAATAGTTGTTTCTAATAATTGGCTAAAATTTGTTGAAGAGTTTCATTTAATTGTACATCAACACTTACATGTTTTTGGATGTAATTGTACTATGTTTTTTGTGAAAAGTGTTCCTTTAAAGTATTCTTCTGTTTATGAGTAATATCTGTTTTTTGACAAAATTGGGAAACTGTGTGTGAAGTCATGTGATTATGATTTTAATTATTGTGGTATACATAGTCTTTTGGTTTCAGAAATTGTTTGACATCATTAAAGAGTAATTTTCTGAGTATTTCTTTTTTAGGACTTCTGGAGATTGTGACTTCAGTGCTTCTTCATCCAAGTATGGCTGCTCGACTTGCTGCTGCATGGTGTTTGCGTTGTGTGGCAGTGGCATTGCCTTTCCAGTTGACACCATTTCTAGACAGGTGTGCTGAACGGCTCAACAACTTAAAGACTTCACCAGAAGCTGTTAGTGGATACAGTTTTGCAATGGCTGCTTTGTTAGGTGGAGTTCATCAGTGTCCTTTGGGCATTCCTCATGCCAAGGGAAAGGTATGACAGAGATCCTGGAATTGTGAATGCTATCACATGAGCTTTAGTCTTTATTGGAACACAGCTGTATTTAATGTTGAAACTGGGTGATCAAATGACAACAGGTTTACTATGGTAATATAAAATATAGTGTCCTGCTAATACCAGGTTAATAGACCCTAATTAAAATTTGATATTTAATTCCGATATAGAAATAATAGGTTTTATCTGGTTATAGTATCATGTTATAATTTATTTAGGAGGCAAAAAAACCCCTTAGAGTAATTATTTAAAAATCAGAGATTTTCTTTTAGCCTTTAGAAATAAAAATTCACATTGCTGTATTCAAAGATGCCAGGAGAATATGCTGTTGCAATATTTATCATTTTGATAATACTTAAGAAAAATCGAATGGTTTTAATAGCCTTTAGAAATAAAAATTCACATTGCTGTATTCAAAGATGCCAGGAGAATATGCTGTTGCCATATTTATCATTTTGATAATACTTAAGAAAAATCGAATGGTTTTAACAAATCAGTTAAATTTTTTCCCTTTTCTTTCTACTGTATTATCATGATTTTCTTCTCAGGAGTCTTAAGTGTTTATATAAGTATTATTTGCAATTTTACATGGGCATATCATGGCTAGATTTTTAAGTTCTTATGTTTTCTGGCACATTAGGCTCAGTTCCATCCATTCTTAAGAGTTCCATAGCTACTACTTGAATCTAGGCTTCCATTGTCATATGATTGCTTCCTCATTGATTATTCTTTTTAAGTCTTTTTCTTCCATTTTCCTCATACCACTTTCATATTTTACATTTGGTCAGAGGCCCTTAGGGACTACTCAGTACTCAGAGAATAAAATGTAATCTCTGTCTGGTAAACTCCTACTTCATAATTTGCCTTTATTCTGCTCATTCATTCCAATTTACCACTGCTCTACTCAGACCAGTCACCTTGCTTTCTTCTCATGCCTTTTTCAGTCTTCATGCCTTTACTCATGCAAACCTCTTACATTAGAATTTTGTATGCCTGCTTTTTAAAAATTTATTGTTTATTAGCATATTCATTATTACAAATCATACTTATTCTTTTTTTTTTTTTGGTCTTTTTGTGAGATGGCCGCACCGTGCTCAGCACAGCGCTCAGCCAGTGAGCACACCGGCCATCCCTATATAGGATCCGAACCCGCGGCAGGAGCGCTGCTGTGCTCCCAGCACCGCACTCTCCCGAGTGCACCATGGGCTCGGCCCCAAATCATACTTATTCTTTATACCCCTTTTCTAATTTCTCCCCTTCCCCCTCTCCCTCCAACCTTCTCCTTCCCTTTCTCCATCTGCTTCCCCCTCTAATAATCGTAGATTATTTCTCTCCATCTGATAGATTAAATGTTCCTCTGTTGGTTTATGGCCTAGGTGATCTGTTCAGTACTGAGACAGGTGTGATCAAGTCCTTGCCTGTTATCGTAAATCAGATGCTGCTTCTATTAGTCTGGAGTGTGCTTTGTGGAGAGAGAGGACCTCTTTTTTTTGGTCTCCACTGGTGCCTCTCCTTGTGTCCATGCAGTTGAGAGTCTGTTGTGCCATCTGCACGGTGGCTGTGACTGCTGCTATAGAGACTAGCTGCTTTTGCAGCAGCCATGGCAATTGCGATGGCTTATGGTGGGCTACCCGCATGGAGATGGTGTTTTCGGCAAGTTCTTTAACTGGTTGTGGCTGGGTTCAGCTTCTCCTGGCTCCATACCTCAGGACCCTGGTGAAGCCCTTGGGGTGGCGGCGGCAGCTTGCCTAGTTGTGGCCAGGTTTAGCTTCCCCCAGCTCCATGTCTCAGGACCCCAGTGGGGCCTTGTCCCCACTTCTGTTCACCTGTACCAAACTGAAATCTATTTGTGTGGAGGCCCAATTCAAATTCCATCTCTCATGAAATCTTTTCAGTACTATTCAGTCTATAATAGCTTTCCCTTTTGATATTAATACAGTAAAACACTCAGAATAGTGTTAGCTCATGTAACACTTTAAAAGGCTATTATTATTGGTACTATTACCCTATATACAAAGATTGGTTGAACTCCTATTATGTATCTGCCATTAAGCTAATCTTATGGAGCTTAGAGAGAAACAACATAGAAAAATGGGAAGTAAACAGCCCATGATTAAATGACAAAGTGGCAGCACACATGCTGTATTAACTTCTTTAATCTTCCCAAGAGTAAGGTAGGCACTCCTATTATTCATATTTTTACCAGTGAGGTAACTAAGGTGGGGAGGTTAAGATGTCCCGGGTCAGAAAGCTCGTAAGTGGCAGAGTTGGGATATGAACCCAGGCAGTCTGGCTTTAGAGCTTACTCTTCTTAACTACTATGCTGTTCTGGGTCTCCTCAGAGTTGTCAGTGTAATCAAGACTGAGTAGGTCTTGACTTTGCCTCTTTGAAAACCTGTTAACAGCAACAGTAACACAAAAGGATAACTTCATTTTCAATAAAGTGTACTAGTTGTCTGTTTTCTTATTTGACTTTTTAACTTGTTTAAATTAAAATCCAATTCTAAACTTCTCTTGCAGATGGTAGTTAGTATTGCTGAAGATCTTTTACGAACTGCTGCCCAAAATAGCAGGCTGTCTTTACAGCGCACCCAAGCTGGATGGCTTTTGCTTGGAGCACTTATGACTTTAGGTATAATTATACTTGAGTAGGATTTTGTTTTACTCTCTGTAACTGTCAGTAGACTATAAGGCAAATTTAATTTAAAAGTATTAAACTTTATATTCTAGACTTTGAATGTGTTTGTAAAATGGTAAAGATGTTTTGCCCGTCTTTTGGTAGTAGATTCTTTTTTTGGTAATTTCTGCTTAAGAATATTTAATGAGAACGTTTTTAGTAAAGTTTCTCTTTTACTATCAAAATAGTCATTGTCTACTCAATTAGCTTAGTGTTAATCAAAAGAGATAAGAATATGGGGAGCAAAATTCCATTCCCTAAGTGAACACCAGCAATGTGATTTCAGCAGAGTGATATAGTCATGTTTAAATTGTTGGTGCTGATCTTTTGGGCTTCACTTTCCTAAGTGCTATGACAAGTCTGAGATACAGGCAAAGTTTATCATTGTCTATAGGGAAGAAATACATACAGTGTTAACATTGTGATAAGGTATGTCCATTTTTTAGTTCACATGTTTAACTGCTACTATAAAAAGTATGTGTGTGTGTGTGTGTGTGTGTGTGTGTGTGTGTATGTATGTGTGTGTGTGTGTTACTAAGTCATTCACTGTTCTAAGCATGTATCTTTTGGAAATAATATTTTGACCTAGTTTTCTTTTCTAAAGAAAATAAAAAGTGGTAACTCTTTTTCCAGAAGTTTATGTTAAGTATTTTAAGTGGTATCTTAAATGAATTCCTTAGCCATATAACTATAGGTTCCTAGTTCTGAAGATACTGCTCATTCATGAAACTAAATTACACCCAAAATAGAGGCAAATATATATATGTATGCATGTGGGAGTGGGTGTATATGTTTATGTATATATATGAGGGTACTTCAGAAAGTTTGTGGAAAAATAGAATTAAAAGATAATCCAAATCTTTCTATGAATGTTTTGAACTACTGTCGTATATTTATGGAAAAGAACTCACAGAATGTGTCCCAGATATATTTTATTGTTGATAATATGTAATCCACATTCTGAATATAGTTGGGTAATTTTTTAAAATTGCCTTTTTGTGTATTTGTTTTATGTTTGAATGCTTAAAATATTGATACTTTTAAAGCGAATTTTATTATTCTTTATTATGTATATATTTTACTCACTGGATAAAAAACATTTTGAGAATAATGTTAATTTTAGAAACAAAAATAGGATGAAATGACAAAGATTGTTAAAGCTTGTTTGGGCCCATTCGACTTCCATTTGTAATATATGTTATATACAGATATGGTTTTGCATTCTCATTTTCTTGGTTAGGACCATCTGTCGTTCGTTACCATCTGCCCAAGATGTTGTTATTGTGGCGAAATGTTTTCCCACGTTCTTTAAAGGAATTGGAGGCCGAGAAGGCCCGGGGCGATTCCTTTACCTGGCAAGTAACTTTGGAAGGTCGTGCTGGAGCTTTATGTGGTAAGAATGGAAAGGATTGCACTTTCAGAATGTTATTATATCACTAAAATATTTGTAAAGTGAAGGAAAATTGCTGTTTCAGTTTTTTTTAATATGTAATGGTAAATTTGTGGACTTTTAGATTTAGAAAGAAACCTTATAAATAATTGACTCCAGTTTGCTTATTTTGTAATCAAAATGAAGCTGAGACTCTGAGAAAGTGGTTAGAGTTAGTGGCTAGAACCCAGTACTCTCATTCCCGGTTGTTGCAGTCTTTACCTGTCACAGAAGCACTGAGTCACCACGTAAAAAAACCCGACTGGTTTTTAAGGGAAAAAAAAACTCGGTTATTGAATTTACAGTTACTCTTTTCGCAATGGAAAAATAGCTATTTTTTCACATTATTATCAAATCTGCACACATTGATGTATTTTTCAGACTTCAGCATTACAAAAATTATGGGTACAGTTGTTTTTGTCCAGGAGTCAGCAACTTACAAGAAAGGTTGAAGTTTTGTTTAATTCAGGAACCAGAATTATATTGGGCGTCCCTGCTCTTTTTTGGCTTATCTCAGGGTGAAAAATGCTTCTTTTTCCACACTGAGAGAGAGAGACACGTTTAACCAGCAGGGCAGCAGGGCAAGGTGTCAGTTTTACTCCCACAAAACCATCTCACAAAACTGAGGGGAGACGTTTTAGACTTTGCTCTATTGCTAAAGGGCCAGAGTGATATTCCATCACTTCTGGTTCTGTCTTAAGATTGCTTTCTTTGTAGTCATCTGAATTCCTGTGGGGTTATAGTTCTTTGAATTCCCACTCACAGAAATCTCCCTAACAAATATCTTCCATCTCTACATTTCTGCTGTTCACCCTTCTTCTGTCCTTCCCTAATGATTTTTCTCTGTATTTGTTGCTTGTTTTTCTTTTGGTTTGACCTGGTTTCAGAACCTTATAATTTTATAAACTTATTCATGTTCACAAAAGCTGCTCCAAATCTGTCCTTTTAAACTATTTATCTAGCCATGAGGAGTTTTGTTGCACATTGTCCTGAGCTCCTAACTGAAGATGTGATTAGAAAATTGATGACTCCTATTGAATGTGCCATGACTATGATGTCACAGTAAGTAAACAATTACGACAAGCTAACATCTTATTTCATATTTTAATTAATTTATTTATATAATTCTCAGTCGTATTTTATACTTCCTTCTAGAGTCATATGGGGAACCTATAAAACTTTATTTTTGTAATGTGACTTTAAAAATTATAGTAATGATGTGGATTGAAATACAATTGTATCTTAAGGTATTCTTGTTATTAACAGTGAAGATCACAAAATAAACTAAAACGAAAATGTAATAGTTATCAGTGTACTTTGACATATTAATTCATTGCTAAAATAATGTTTATAGGTAATACTTATTCTAGCAAGCTGATATCAACTATACTTTTAACATTTTAGCATTCCATCTGTAATTAAAGCCCACGGAGCTCATCTGAAAGCTAGTGCTGCAATGGTCCGCTTAAGACTTTATGATATCTTGGCTTTGTTGCCTCCAAAAACTTATGAAGGTAAATAAAATTTGCAGTTTCTTTTTTTTTTTTTGACTGGTAAGGGGATTGCAATCCTTGGCTTGGTGTTGTCTGCACCACACTCAGCCAGTGAGCGCACCGCACCGGCCATCCCTATATAGGATCCGAACCCGTGGCCTCCGTGCTATCAGCACCGCACTCTGCCGAGTGAGCCACGGGGCTGGCCCTAAACTTTGCAGTTTCTGATAAAAATTCTTCAATATGCCTTTCCAGTTCTTCATAGTATTAATAGAGATCTGACCAAGGCTCTCCCACTGACTCCCTATACAAAGGAAGACCACCATTTTACTTTGCCTCATACATAGCTGACACTTGTTGAGTACTCACTGTGATCCAGGTCCCATTCTAAACCCTTTCACATGTATTAACTCCTTTGACTCTAACCCAACTTATGAGGTAATTAGCTCTATTTTACAGATGAGCAATCTCTGATAGAGAGGTGAAGTAACTTGCCTGAGTCTTAGAGATAAGTGGCAGAGCTTGGATTCAAACCCAGCTGGTTTATTTTCAAAGCCTATGGTTTTAATTGCTGTCTTAAACTGCTTTATATATATATATATATATATATATATTATTTTTTTCCTTTTTTTGTCTTTTTTCATGACCAGTAATGGGATCGCAACCCTTGGTGTTGCGCCTGTACCGCGACCGGCAACGGGATCGCAACCCTCAGTGTCGCACCCGCACCGCGGTCAACCAGTGAGCTGACCGGTCTCTGTATGGGATCTGAACCCTCAGCGGGAGCGCTGCCGCACTCCCAAGCGCCGCACTCTACCGAGTGCGCCACCGGGCCAGCCCTATATATATTTTAATATAGCCAATAATTTAGGAATCTGGAGGGAGAATAGTAATGTTCTATGCAGAAATCAAATATTATATAAAATATTAACTAAAAATAAACCATTGATTTCTCTGCAGTACAACCATGCCTAAGAATTTTGGTATGCTCTGTTTCAGTGTTTGTACATTACTGGGCAATGAATAACAAATAATGGCTTTTTTTTTTTTTTTTCCTTTTTTTGTCTTTTTTCATGACCGGTAACGGGATCGCAACCCTTGGTGTTGCGCCTGTACCGCGACCGGCAACGGGATCGCAACCCTCAGTGTCGCGCCCGCACCGCGGTCAACCAGTGAGCTGACCGGTCTCTGTATGGGATCTGAACCCTCAGCGGGAGCGCTGCCGCACTTCCAAGCGCCGCACTCTACCGAGTGTGCCACCGGGCCAGCCCTATATATATTTTAATATAGCCAATAATTTAGGAATCTGGAGGGAGAATAGTAATGTTCTATGCAGAAATCAAATATTATATAAAATATTAATTAAAAATAAACCATTGATTTCTCTGCAGTACAGCCATGCCTAAGAATTTTGGTATGCTCTGTTTCAGTGTTTGTACATTACTGGGCAATGAATAACAAATAATGATCATGTCACATTTATTATATTTAAAGGATCTTTCCTCTATTTGAGTTTTTTTGGTTACTTTAAATAATTAGGGCTAAAAGGCATAATATAGTAATAAAAAAGTACCATGACTGTATATTAAAATCAACATTAAAATATTTAATATAGATTTTTAAAAAGGGAATAGGCACTTCATTATTTTATCCCTTTTGAACATGTTGCTGTTCTTTGTGGGGAATGATTGTAATTTTCATAAAAATTACTTCTTTAATCTAATACAAAGTTCTCTTTCTTAGGATCTTTCAATGCACTTCTTAGAGAACTGGTAGCAGAATTCACTTTGACTGAAAACTCAGCTAACAC